AGATAGATAGATAGATAGATAGATAGATAGATAGATAGATAGATAGAATAGACAGAAGAAAGAAAGAAAGAAAGAAAGAAAGAAAGAAAGAAAGAAAGAAAGAAAGAAAGAAAGAAAGAAAGAATATATGTATCTTTGTGTGTGTATTAATATATTGTCTGTTTTTATTACATATTTAGTAAATACTTATAAAACATTTTTAAAACTTGTGTTTCTCTGCAGATACAGAAATGCAATGCTAAAAAGCATATGTGAAGTTCTTGATTTGGAAAGATCAGGAGTTAACAGTGAACTGGTAGCAAGAATCTTAAATTTTCTAATGCATCCAAAACCTTCAGGCAAGGTGAGAGCTATGCTTAGATCGTTGTTTTAATCTAAAATAAAATGGGGTTTAGGACATAATTTGAATATATTAACATTGTTCCCTATAACAAAAAAGATATCAGAGTTCTGATGGATGCCCTAAGGATGTTGTGCCTGATTTTTTTACAGCTGTTCCTCCTGAGCCTTGCTGTAAGCACAAAATTACACTAATGCTTTACTTATTTTATGCATACTCATGTGCCATGGCTTAGGACAGTTATACAGGTGAGATATTTGAGATATTATTGATATTAAAGTTTACCTATAGTAACTCTCAACAACAAATCAAATGCCCTTTTAGCCTCGGTAAGGTTATTAAAAATCGTTACTTTCAAGAGTTGCCTTGCATCTACAAATGCTTATTTGAATGGGTTGATTGTGTCTTCATGATTCCATTAACAATAGAAGTATATGATTTGAAACCATTTTAATTACTGTTCATTTTAGATATATTTGTAGGATCATATTTTCTGAAAGCAAATGCAACAAACTGATAAGTTACAGTAGTTGTGGTGAGTGGGAAGTCATATAAATATTGAGAGCATGTGAAGCTTTTTGGGTTCTACTAACATGCCTTGAAAATTAAACCATTTTAGTTGGGCTTATTTTCAAACTATTAGATTATTTCTTTATTTTTCCCTTTTTAAAAAACAGAAAATAGATGCAAATTAAAGTAGCCAATGAGAACAAAACCACAGTTCGTTAAGAGTTTTTAAAGATTTATTCAGTAATAACATTTAAATTTTATAAACCTGTATTCTCCTTACCTCTTCAATCTTCCCTAATCTCTATAAATAATATAAAGTATCTGAGATCAGCAGAGTCCATGAGACTGAGGACTAAATGTAAATTGTAAATAAATAATCCTCTTCAATCAGGGAATAGAAATCTTTAAACTCTGCTTTCAAGAATTTTCTGCTGAATTCTGTGGGACCAACTTTCTGGGAGTTACTGCCCACTTACAGAGCACCTCTGAAAAATGTATCAAAAAGGTCACAAATATGTAACATTTAATATTTAATCTGAATGGGGACTAAATTCTTACTCAGTTCTATTTCTTTTATAAAAATGCATGTGTTTACTCATCTAATCCGTATCATGACTTTCCATTGAAAAAGAATTAGGAGTCTTAATGCACAAAAATAAAAATAAGTTGAGAATTTAAAAAATGAAAACAAAATACATAATATATATTGAAAACTAAAATTAGCACAAAACAATTTATAAAAGTCAAAAAATGTTGATTCACTTAAAGTAAACTTATCCTATGAAACTATTTTCCCAACAAATTTATAAAAAAGGAAGGATCATCAAAGTTAGTTAAGTTACAGTATTTCCTATGGTACGTATACATTATAAAACTATTTGATTTTTTTTAATTACTTCATTTCTAATATCTAATAGCCATTGCCAAAATCCAAGAAAACTCCCAACAAGGGTGGTAAAAAAGAGCGTAGTAGCTCTGGAACAGCACGGAAAGCCAAACGCACCAAATGTCCTGAAATCTTGACAGATGAATCTAGCAGTGAGGACGATGAAAAGAAAGGGAAAGATGAATCATCTGAGGAAGATAAAGAAAGTGAAGAAGAGGTAAGAACTTCAGTACAAATAATATATGCTAAAGAATTATACTCTCGTCAATAATTTAATTTAAATGGCAACAGCATGGGATCAGATAGTTACAGATAGTCCCAAAATTCCTTAAATTTATCACTTTTAAGATATATTAATGTTATAAATTATTCTTAAAAGAATTGGCTGAATAATGGCAGTTATAAACTGCAGTTTATAAACATTGTTATTTTAAAATTATCTACATATCAGATTTCTAGACACAACTCTATTTGTTCTATAATGTATCTTTTTGCATACTGAAAAAAAAAATAGAAACACCTGTTCTAATAAGCCACTGATATTTGGGACAGATAAAGCATACAAAACAGTGTTTAAATGGGTTACATTTTTATTTTATTTCTTTAGCATTAAATTTGCATTAGTTCAGTATGTTTAAAATTGATATTGAAATAGATTTTACTGTGTTTTTTACCTAACTCACAGCCACCTAAAAAATCAACAAAGAAAGAAAAACCCAAACAAAAAGTAGCTTCAAAAAGCAAAAAGGGTTCAAGAAGCGCTTATGTCAAGAAAGCAGATAGCAGTACAACCAAGAAGAGTCAGAACTCTTCCAAAAAAGGTAAGTTCACCACTCAACAAATCTCAGTTATATATAAGCTGTCAAAAAACTAAGTTGTGTGTGTTTTTTGAGGAACCAGGTATCCTTAATGTCTCAAAATATTTTGTACTCTTTCATGGCTTTTAATGTTCACTTTGGCTCTGGCATGAAATGTTCTGGCAGACCAGTTGGAAATACTGAACTCAGTTTCTATTAAACAACTTCAGTCACATGGTTTGGAGCTATTGCATGGAATCTAGGGCAGGGGTCCCCAACCGCCGGTCCGCGGACCGATACCGGTCCGCGGAACAACTCTTACCGGGCCGCTGGTTGCTGGGCGCCGCCATCTTTTTTTGGTAAAAAAGTGCTTCCGGTGAGCTTTTCCGGGTAGAAAGCTCACCGGAAGCACTTTTTCATCAAAAAAAGATGGCGGCGCCAGCGCTTCCGGTGAGCTTTTCCGGGTAGAAAGCCATTTCTACCCGAAAAAGCTCACCGGAAGCGCTGGCGCTGCCATCTTTTTTGACGAAAACGTGCTTCCGGTGAGGTCACCGGAAGCACTTTTTCATCAAAAAAAGATGGTGGTGCCCAGTTGATGCCGGTACCGGGCCGCGGCGCCCAGCTGATGCCGGTACCGGGCCGCGGCGTCGAAAAGGTTGGGGATCCCTGATCTAGGGCACTTTTTAATTTCATATTTTATACAAAAATAATTTGTTCCTATGTTCTGTCAGGTTAAGAGGAATTCTTTTTTTTTTTTTTTTTTTTTAGCAAAATCAACCATATTAGAAATCAAATATTATCTTGATTATCCTTTCTCATCTATACTGAGTGAAAAGAACCCAGAGATGACTGGGATAAGAAATAGTAAAGTTGGAGTATATGAAAACAGGTGAAAAAAAATCTAAAACGGGTCACCAACCGCTGGGCCGCAGAAGCGGCAGGCAAGTGTGTGCGCCCCTTACATGAGCATCGGGCAAGCGCAGGCATTCCAAATGGAGCTGCTTGTGTCATGTGTTTGCCTGCCACTTGCATGGAACCATCCCCTTCCTCTGGCCGGTCCACAAAACCAGAAAGGTTGGGGTACTCAGATCTAAAAGATACCTTTTTACTACCTGAATCTTTCTCTGAAAAATCCCAGTTTTTAAAGCTTTCTTTAGTATAAACTAATTTGCAATTTTATTCAAAGTTAAATTTGACTGGTGGAAGGAAAAACCAGTTATCTGCATTTTAACAAAATATTTTTCATTTAGAAAGTGAATCTGAGAATAGTTCAGATGATGAGCCTTTAATTAAAAAATTGAAAAAGCCTCCCACAGATGAAGAATTGAAAGAAACTGTGAAAAAACTACTTGCTGATGCAAATTTGGAGGAAGTTACCATGAAACAAATTTGTAAAGAGGTATATATTTGCCATTTATTTTGTATACTATTTACTGTGTAAATTTAAATTTCAGGGCTGCCAATAAAGATCCATATACAGTATTTGTGTAGTTTTTGCAAAACGCACGCTCACCGAACCAGTTGTAATGCTGGTAGGATCCCAGCCCTGATTTCATCTGATTAAACTTGTTTTAAATTGATCATTGCAGGTATATAAACGCTATCCCAGTTATGATTTATCTGACAGAAAAGAATTCATCAAAAAGGCAGTGAAAGAGGTAAATACTTGATCAATGAGATATTTTATTAAAAATATTTTAGATTTCAATTATAATATATGCCTTGCTTCGCTGAGATGGGTTTGGTAAATAAATATATTTAAATTTTAGAAATCTTAAATACGGAATAATAAACTTAACTCAGTTCTCAAAACCAGGCCCAAATTTTATTCAACTCTATGCTTAATTGCATCTAGTAATTTTATTTTAATGTTTGTTTAATCATTTCTTAACCCTATGCTATAAATGTATAATAACATAGCAAAAATGTTAATCAATGTTAATTGAAAATCCTGTTGATTTTTTTGAACTTTCTCTAAAGATGTTAAGATTGCAGCCTGAGCAAAGTGTTCATGGAAAGGTGGATTTACATAGAAGATGAAATATTTTCTTTTCTTTGTAGCTCATTTCATGATCTAATGGGAAGAAAATGAAGGCTACGGACTTGTTTTCCTGGATTTAAATATTTTACAAAAACCAGCAAATTGTAAACTTTATTATTTTTGTTTTACTCTTGGTATAACGTAGTATTAGTTGGAGATGACTATTGGCTTAATGTTCTGAGTGTTAATGGGAATTACCAACTTTTTCAAAATTGAGTTTAATATAATTCCTAAATTTTGCATGGTAATACATGTTCCCTACTTTTCCTTTGTACATTATATTTCTTTGTAAAAATAGTCATATAGCTATTGTAGGTTTTAGTGTTTGTAATGTAGAGATTTTTTTAAAAGAACAATATGAAAGCTGTTGTATTAGTAGATACACATGCAGAGACTGTTAAATACTGCAGTATTGGGCATTACATTTATTTTGAATACACCCATTTTCTACCAGGAGCTAGTCATGCCCTGACTAGGACTGCTGTTATGTTTTACTATCTTGCATGTGTATACAACTGAAAGTAATAAAGCATGATCAATCACGAATAGATATTATTTTTGTACTTTTAAAGGCTTTTGTATATAAGCTTATTTCAGATTTGCTTAAAACCAGGTTAAGAAAAAAAATGTGTTTTAGATTTATGACCAGTATCAGTGTTTATGAATCATGTTGTGATTAAGTAGGAAGTAAGTATACAAACAAAAGATAGCACATTTGATTTTTTTAAGGAATGTCTTAATTGCACTCAGTCTTTGAGTAAAGAGAAATTTAATTTTTCTTTAACTGAGTGCAGAGAATTATAGCTCTGAAGGCTTAATGTGATATCCTATATTGTTAATTCATAAAAAATAAATACAATTTTGATTTCTAAAATGTTTTTTCCAAGGTGGTTAGTATTGACCATTTATCTGGTGTCGCTTGAACAATGTAGTATTCTTGCAAAACTGTACCCTTGTTTTAGATTCTCAGAATCTATAATTGGAAGAATATATACTTAAATGCATTAATCTTAGGTGACTCCTGCTTAAGTACTCTAAAATAAAATCTCAGTTCTGCAAATAATTATTCATGAAATTTTTATTCAATTCCAGAATGAAGTACCTGTTCACAAAAATCCTTTAAGGGATCAGATCATCATGTGTTAAAATTTCCAGCAAATGCCAAATAAATGTGTCATAAAGTGAAGTCAAGTATAATTAACTTCTCCAAGACTGTATTGATTAAAATAATTGCAGGTTTTAAATAATGTATTAATATGTAGTTATGGAATCATAGATCTATATTCCAAAATATTGTTAATTGATCAACTTATATCATTTTTATCACTTTCTTTGCACGCAATCATTTTTACTAAGCTGAATGTACGTTTTTTATTCAATAAATGTCTTTAAGGAAAATGTACACTGATATTTTAATACATGTACAGTAAACTTGATACAGAATCAAAGGTGCCTGTGTGTGTCATCTAGACAAAATATTCCTTGTTCATGCTAAATGAAGAAAAATTTTAAGAACCTTATTTTTGTGTAGACAATGAGTATACATTTCCCTAAGCAACAATTATTCTAAAGAATAAAAAAGAATATTAATGATTAATTATCCAAATATTTCTAAGGAACTGTGAGTTATAGGATTAATTAAAATCAGAACTTCAAGTTGATTTATAATCTTGGCTTTTAAGTATGTCATTCTAAGAGAAACAAAAATCATATTTCATTCATTTGACTTTTTGGTCAGTAAACAATGATAAATGTTCAGTTTGGAGCTACAGGCAAATTATACTTAAAAAAAAAAAAAGAAAGCTACCTTGCATGGTTACACCAGTATGCTCAAGTACTACTATATCCAACTGTTTTCGAGTCCCTCTCTAGTCTTTAGTTTTCTATTTTTATGAATTAATGCCAGGTTTTCTTTAAATATCTAAGAAGCTGGTTGACTTCTTATACTATTTCTATTTTCCAAACAACAAGCAGAGAACAGGTACAAAGTCACATATTATATGCAGACACTGAATACAACCATTACAACCATTTGTTTGGTGACCATTCAGTTACAATAGGACTGAAAAAAGTGACTTATGACTCTTTTTTCACACATGACCACCGCAACATCACAATCACGTGATGAAAATTCAGATACTTGGCAAGTGGTATGTATTTATGAGAGTTGAATGCCCTGCGGTCATGTAATCACTTTTTGTAACCTACCAAGCAAAGTCAATGGAGAAGCCAGATTCACTTAACATTAACTGTAGGGATTCACTTAACTGTGGCAAGAAAAGCAGTAAAATGGGGCAAAACTCACTTAACAAATGTCTTTTGGGGTTCAATTGTTGTAATTCGAAACTATACCTGTTAACATAGATGAGCATTTTTTTCAGTTACTATATTGCTATTAAGTCACTTTACTTACGATCAGTAGTAAATGCTTCAAAATGTTTTACAAGACATAAGTTGGTATATGTAAATAAATGAGCAAGTTTCAAAAAATCTTTGGGATTTTTTCCTGAATATTTTAGCTCATTTAAATAAATGTGAAAAATATATCTGATCTTTCCTTGTACAAACAATTTATACAGTGATTCAATATTTAAAGCAGGAGTTCCACATTAATGACAATAAAGTACCTACAGATGCCTATTCCTCACTATGTAAATATTCCACATTATATCATTTGGGTTTAAGATGTGTTTCCTTTATTTGCTAATACATTTGTTATTTGTTAAAAACTTCACATAAAAGGATTAATAAGTATCAATAAGTAAGAAAATAAGTTTAGGTAAAAAAAACATAGCTAAACTGCTTTAGATAAATATTCACATACTTTGAGCATTTTAGATCAGAGAAAATTTCCAGAAATCATATTTATTTTGTTTTTTCTTTATATACGTTTTCATTATTATAGTCCATTTAATTTAGTAATATTTACAATATTAAAACTTGTCTATTTTAAAACAGTAATTCTTTTCCAGTCTGTCCTCTACTGTGTAAATCAGATTACTCTTCGTGTCTTCATAGAATCACAAGACTGGATGGGACCCTGGAGGTCTTCTAGTCAACCCCCCTGCCCAAGGCAGGAGTCGTAATACCATCTCAGACAAATTGTTGTGCAATTTTTCTTGAAAATTCTCCAGCGATAGAGCACTCAAAATTCCAGGAGACAAGGCGTTCCATTATATATTTAGAAAATATTGCATATTGCATGTTTGTAGCAAACGGTTTTAAAATACATCTAAGCAATGTTTTTGAAAAATAAAGAAAAGGTGCTGATGCTGACATACTGAAATTGTCACTGTACAACATGTTATTACATCATCTTAAATTTGCTTCTGGATGTCATATCATTTAACTTTTCAAAAACAAACCAACCCCAATTTTAAGCCAAACTTATTTTTCAGAGTTGCCTATTTCTATTATATTTCTTTAATTAAAGTTTTGATTATTAAAACTAAGTGCACAGAAAGGAAATGTCCATATAATATTTTTATTAGGCCATTTACATGAACAAATACTAGCTTCATACAGTTCTTTTTATGTTATTTTTTGCAGGTCAATAATGAATGTTGATTGTTTATGTATACTATAGAACTGAATAGTACCAAAGGCCCGCATGTTTGTATTTCTAATCAGTTCTTGGACATTTTTTCCTCACCCTATACATGATTAGAGAAACCTACTATCCTTTTGAAATATCTAACTACTTATGAGCTATTTGACAGTCCATCTACTACTATTTAAGGTTCATTACAATTCCATCTTTCATAATACAGACTTCCTAGTGAAAAAATAAGGGATGAAGTGTGTGAAGTGCATCTTCAAGGCATAAACAATGAAATCACTTTTGTCTTCACAAATTTGAGCACCATGTGGATTTGGATTTGTTTTAAAATGTAAACTTTAATATTCAAAACGCTGATATTTTGCTTGCTTCTCGAACGCCACTCAAGTAGGCTCCTGTAACTGTCTGTGGAAAGTGCCGGTTTGTGGCCTGTTTAAAAAAAAGTTTCAGATTATATATTTTGAGAGAAATACAATTAACAGAATTCTTAAAATACAGGATATAGAATCCCGCAAAGAAAAAGTTTTCCTTACAAAAGACCCAATCTACAATTAGAGATATTTTATAGAAATTTATGTAACTTCCTTATCAAAGCAGAAATCAAGCAGCAAGCTATAAAAATAGATCTACAATATTGCAACTAAACAATTGGGGGGGGGGGGGAAACTACCAACATGCTGTGGAAGGTGTTACAAACCTTTATAAACAAAAATCTCGAAACAAAATCAAAAAAGCCTTCAAACTCCTGAAAAAAGGACGGTGACAAGGAAGTTCATCCCTGAAAGAAATACATTAAAGGAGGACTTTGAGGCAACAGAGGGAGCACTACTGTGTTTCCCCGAAAATAAGACCCAGTCATATATTTTGGGGGGGGGCTACAAAATAAGCACTAGGGCTTATTTTTGGGGAAACACATTTTTCAGGGTGACCAGCCCGGCTAGGTTCCCAACCCCAGTGTGCTTCAAGAGGCAGCAAGTGCATGAGCACTCATGATATCTGGCAGCAGCTGCACCTCTATGGTCCTTTGGCTGGTGCACACTGGCTGTGCAGCACAGTTGATTCCCTGTCCGAACAGCAGATGGAGGCAGAAGTGCAGGGTAGAAGGCAAACAATCCTGACGCAATGAGCCTCCTGCACTGGCCGCCCACTCTGGCCCAACGACACTTGGCTTTCCCACAGCACATCCAGATTATCTGCTTCCACCCTGCGCCTCTCCCTCCATTTGCTGTCGATGCCACCACATGAAGACGACTCTTCCAGTGGCATGTACGCAGATCGCGTGCCTCCTCTCACCTCTGCCTCCACTTGTTGCTTTTAGACTGGTAATCAACTCACCTGCGCTGTGTGGGCTGCCGCTGCTGAACACTGTCGGCCCGTATGGGTCCTCACTGCCTCCTGTGCTGTCCATGACCATCCCCCTTCACTAGGGCTTATTTTGGGGGGTAAGGCTTATATTAGGCACATGCTTAAAAATCAGGGTAGGTCTTATTTTTGAGGTAGGTCTTATTTTGGGGGGGGGATATATCTTTGGTACCCATGGTTTAGACTAGCAGCCCCCAAACTTTTGGATATCAGGGATCGGTTCCCTGGAGAGAGGTTTTTCCATGGACTGGAGGAGGTGTGGTTTTACATGCTGCCTGCAATCTGTGGGTGGGGCAAAGCTTGTTAGCATGGCTCGGTTTCCAGCATCCCACAGACTGGTGCATGTCCATGGGCCAAGGTTTGGGAACCTTTGGCTTAGACTATTATAGGTAATCATCTTACGACCATTTGTTCAATGATTGTTCAAAGTTGCAGCAGCACTGAAAAATGGGACATATCACTGGTTCTCAAGGTGCTGGCCATCTCAGCATCCCTGCGATCAGACAATTGTGGTCCAAGCACTTGGGTGCCCAGCTCAAAGCATGATACTACAGAAAAGCCATGGTCACACGATCAACATTTGCAACTTTTCCACAAAGTCACTCAATTGGAGAAGCTGGCAGGGAAGGTTACAAGTCACTCCAGTTTCTACTCCCACCTGCAGCATCTGCACCCATCCCTTCGTAGCCTCTACTGACTTTTCCATGGCCTCCCATGACTCACATATGGCCTCCACCAGCCTCCCCAATCCTCCTGTAGCACCCACATGGCCCACCTCTTTCTACATTTTCAGATTATGACAGCAACTGGTCTGCCTGAGATTGCTGTCACTAAGCAATGCAGTCACACGACTATTTATTTATTACGTTTATATGCTGCCTATCAGGTTGTCTTAACAGTACAACAAAAATATAAATATAAAAAAGCAATTTAAAATAAGAAAAGTTAAGTACAGACTAAGAACCAGGGGCTCAAGCAATGCAGAGGTGGTATCTTTGTTGCTGCACCAAGAACATGTGGCTTAGAGCATACCTATTGGGGCCCCAAGTCAACCAGCAGAGCCAGGATATAAGATCTTTCTGGAAGGCCAGGAGAGTGGGGGGGCGGCGATCTCACCTCAGGGAACAAGATGTTGCAAAGGGTTGGGGCTACAGCAGCAAAGGCTCTTCTAGACACTGCACTTTTATGACTGCATTGCTTAGCAACAGTAATTCCAGTCCCAATTGTTCAAGGACTACCTGTAATAATTTCAGAAATCCTCCCACAGCCTGTAATGCCTATTCAAAGCAAATGCGTTTTTAGTCTTTTCAAACTTATTTGTGATTCGAACAAGTCTGGATTTTGTTAAAACAATGTTATGTAATTTGAGATTTCACCTCTCCAGCGAAGAAGATTTTTCCCTGTATGTCTTCAGCAAGTATATCATATGCTTCACCGCTGCCCCCTGTCTTTACAAAACTATATGCCATTTGGATCCAAGGATCTTTGCTCCATCTTGTAATGAAATATTTGACTGGATCTGGCACA